TAAGTGATCGATTTCTACACAAATTTTCATCTGTATTTCATTTTAGGGGTTGAATTTCCAAATTCTTGCCCGTAAGAGTACAAAAGCCCTATCTCACTCAAAGATTATAAAGCTTCATATAAGTAAATGATTTGTCTAATATACCTTTATCAGGCAAAATCCTATATTAACAATAAGATAAATGATATGAATTTTATCTTTTTATCTCAGTGTAAGATTTAATTTAAATCCATGAAAGATAATTCAAACAATTGTATAATGATAGCCTCAAATATTATATTAAGGCAATAAGAATTCCTGAACTGATGAAGGCTTTGTAAATCACTGAATTGTTAATGCGGAATGGAAGCCGATTCACCAAAATATACATTTTGATACAAGTAAAAATTTATTTGAAGTATTGTTTGAAAGAACTTGATTGTTAAAGATGTTGTTTTTTTTATTTATTTTTGACCACAGATTATAATATAATACTATACTAGGCTTATGTTTTGTATTTGTCAGTATGTCTTTGAAGCGTTGAATTTTTATGACCGTGAGAGATATTTAAGTTTTTCATCAGAATATGGAACGTTATGACGCTTATCATCAAATAACTAGCAATGCCCGCGGCTCCGCCCCCGTTCAGATGATCAAAAACCAAATTCTTAGGTTTTACATATTAGTATACTCAGTACAATAGTATACAGTTTTTGTATTTTTTCTCAGAAATTAGAGAATTTCCCGCAGTAAAAAGTATCCTATATGTTGACCCGGATAGCTATGACCATACAAAATTTCATTAAAGTCCCTCCAGTAGTTTTTCTGTGATGCGGTAACAGACAGACAGACAAAAATTCTAAAAACTATAGATTCGGCCTCTGTATCGATAATAATGTCTATTTCTATAAGATTTTCCAAAAAATATTTAATGTACAGATTTGACTCAGTTAGAATTTTATTATATACATATATATATAATTATTAATTCTAGTTTTTATAAAACATGCTTTTGTGCTCGGTATAGTACGCGATTTAGTGGAACATAACTTATTACTGCGTGATAGGCGTTCGAAATAATCAACAAAATCAAATTCGCATACTTAAAATACAAATATTTTCCTCTTACAGGAGTAGAACCCATAACCCAAGCCACATTTTGCTATAAAATTTCTCCATTAAATGCAGCTTATAAAGTCCCTCCAACCTAATAAACAGTATTTGAGTTCCTTTATTTAAAAGTTGAAAGCGTTCTATAGTAAGCTGTACGTAATGACCCTTAAAGTAAAATTGCTTTCAAAATCATGTTTCAGTAATCGTAAGAAAAAATTTCCTCATTCAGCCCCTTTTAAAGTGCCCAAAGCTGAATTCGGGCCTTCCTTCAATGCGACGGGGATCAGGCCATAGGCCACTACGATGCAATGGTCGAGTGGCGGAATTCACATATCTTTCAAAAACTACGTAGGTTCTCTAAATATGCAAGTCACGATGTTTTGTCTTCATTGTAGAGTGGTGATTATGTTAAAAATGACTCGCACATGGAAGATTTGAACCCGCGTCACTTGGTTTTCCAAACGTTTTAACATTGGGCTACCGCTGGCTAAGAAAAAATCTTCTCAATATAAAATAGTTTAAAATTTTCATATTACTATGTAAAGAGCTGTTGACATTTATAATTAACTTGGTTTACCAAAGCCTTGTTGTTAATTAACTACAAGTTTGTGTTAGATTGGACGTTACAGCTAAATCTCTCTGGAAATGTCATATCCACATCAAATCTACCTGTTATATATTAATCTGGATTTATAAGGATTAATTAATTCATAACCTATATCATAGTATCTTTATAAAAGACGTACATATATGGTCGAAATTGTACCTTTAAAACATTATTGAAAAAGATATGTCTATATGTAATAAATTAGTACATTATACTTTCACGTAATGTTAGAATTTTACAATATTCTATTTGTTTATTCTTCTATATAAAACATTAATTCTATAAATATTAAACATATTTACTGATGGCCAAACTAAACCTCTAAACTTGAAAGGTCGAAATTTTGAAAGCCTATGAGCAGATATTTCCTTTTAAATTCGTCCTCTTAAGTGAATTATTCGATGATCGATTTCGGCCATGGCGGCGAGTCTCCCTGAAACTAGGCAACTGCGCAGGAGATATTATAGTGCACAAGCGTACACGCAGACACAACGTGCACTCTCTATTCCTCTCACTCTCAAATTCCGATGGAACGATAATTCAACAAAACCCGTGAGATATCAGGACTGACTTCATTACATGCTGTCCAAGGCACGGGGGTGAAACATAGCCAACTTCCCAACTCCGGGCTGTTACTGGGACTTTCTTAACAGAATGACTCAATGACTATACCTGGCCTGAACTTCGAACCCAGTACGTCCGGATGTGCAACTGTACATCTAGCCACCAGCTAGCCAGCCACAGCACCACCGAGGCAGTTAACATGTAGTTATTATACAACAACACGATAAACTATCGTAGGATAAGTAATTAGACCTTCTTTTATTCTTTACTACGAAGCTTTAGTAAATGGTGCTAATAAATTGGTCGTTGCTGAATAACGTCCGTGCCACAAACGTACTTTTATCGCCAGTTACCAGTTTTCGTGTAAATCTTCTCAAGTATGCACTAAACCCTCTTAATGAAATTACTTTCTGTTATCAAAAACGTAAACGACTCTATGAGCCTTAAGTAAGCGCTTTCACTTTAAAAGCATAATTCAATTTTTAATTTTTATTTACTTTATTTAACGAGAACATTTGATATTTAAAATTTGAATCAGAATATTATAATTAATAATTATGGTCTTGGATTTTATAAATTAATACAATATAAACGTTATAATCACTTGTGTCTTGTGTAAAAGGCAGCGGTAGCCCAGTGGAATCGCTTAGGAAGCCGAGTGAAGCGAGTTCAAATCCCGGGTCTCGCACCTCTGATATTTTCATGCGCGAATCATTTCTAACATGATTACCACTTGCCTTACGGTGAAGGAAAACATCGTGAGGAAACCTGCATGTCTCAGAGAACCTAACCAGTTTTTGAAAGACATGTAAAGTCCGCCAACACGCACTTGGCCAGCGTGGTGGACTATGGCCTGATCCCCCTCGTATTGAAGGGTGGCCCGTGCCCAGCAGTGGAACATCAAAAAAAAAGGGCTGAATAGAATCACTTGTGTTTTGCTACATGAGGTGAAGGGGTAAAGTAGGTGATTGGGCCTCAAAACACTCTCTTATTCATAAAACGAACGAAAAATAAATAAATATGTTGGGACATTAGCACACAAAACATCTAGTACCGCGGTAAGCTACGAGGCTTGTGTTATGGATACCAGATACACTACACACATACTCGTATAAAACTTTAAATTCATAGATATTATAAATATAAACACCCATGACCGGAGAACAAACATTCGTGCTCATCACACAATTGGTGTAAATACCGGATAATACAGGGTCAGTACTGCTACTCCATTAATTGAGATAGAGAGTGGAGAGAGTGGGAGTCAAGTTAGCCTATTCTCATATATTAAGAAAAAATTTAGACTCTATTAAGAAACATATTTCGTTAAAGTAATATCCAATTTAATAACAAAATGTGAAAGCTTTTCATGAATTCATTCTAACTCAACAGCCTCTCGTATCTCCACGACCCGGCTCCATCGTATAAATTATCACTTTCAAATAATGCCCCATAATCGAAAACATTCATCTAATATTCATGGAAACCCTTTTTGGAAACAACATTACGCACGCCACATGAATGTTACATACCGGTGAACTTTTTGAATAGAAAAATCGACCCTTGTCTGATCGGTCGTATTAAAAATAGCTTTAACAAAAACCTCCTGTAATAGTATTGGCTAGAAAGCTTGAATATTAATTATTATCAGAACGTTATTACAAAAATTACCAAACAAACAAAACTCTCAACTACTACATCTATATAATTATAAAGGAAATGCTTTTCGTTGGTAAGCGCTGGTCATTTTGAAACTGCTGGACCCATTTATCCAATACATATTTGTTTAAAACGTTAGTTATAGTCCAAATTATTAGTTTTCAGGAAATAATTTAAAAAGTTATCCGAAAATTTGGGATTGTTAGGATTTTTTCTTTCGATTTTTGTATGACCTAAAAGATCAAAATCAAACCTATTGAAATTTGGACAGGAACACTCCAGTGGGTGCAGTCAGTTATCTTTATTTTTTTAATTTATATTTGTGGTATTTTTGATTTTTCACAGAAACTTTAATTTGAAAGCAATGCCTTATTATTTACTAGCATTACCCGCGACTCCACCCGCGTTCAGATGACCAAAAACCAAATTCTAAGGCTTTACATATTAGTATACTCTTACATGATAGTTTTTGTATTTTTTCTCAGAAATGAAATATTTTCCCGCGATAAAAGGTATCCTGTATATTGACCCGGATAACCAGCTATCATCATACCAAATTTCATCAAAGTCTATCCAGTGGTTTTCTTGTGATGCGGTAACAGACAGACAAAAATTCTAAAAACTATAGATTCGGACTCTGTATCGATAATAATTTCTATTTCAATTAGATTGTACATTGTTGTTGTGATTGTGTGTGTGACTTAGTTACAATTTTATTATATGTATAGATTTCTTGGTTATATACATATAGCCAATATTACGTAATTATCCTACTTCCTTCTAATATTATAAATGCGAAAATTTGTGAGGATTTATGGAGCCTAGTCTAGTCTGTGGAAAATGATTGCTTGCTGTCTGGATGTCTGAATGTACAGATGTATGGATGTTTGTTACTCTTTCACGCAAAAACTACTGAATGGATTTTAATGAAACTACAAAATATAGCTACTTTTTATCCCGGAACACTGTACGATTCCCGTGGGATAGATTTAGATTAGATAAATAATCATGTTTAACTTAAAGTAAAAATCTATCGATACAAATTTTAATCAATATATTTTTTGTTTTCTAGTAGAAAATGTCGCCGTGCCGAGTGGCAGCGTGCGTGGCACTGCTGGTAGCTGTCAACGTTGCGCCAGGAGTGGTCTCACTTGACCTTAATCGGTTGTATGGACATCACACTAAACGATCTGGTAAGTTTCTGTTAGTGTGCCCAAATGGCACGCCAATAAGCCACAGAACAAAGAACATGAGATTCTGTTATTTGATTCCTATTTATTTTTTAACTGAATCGATAGTATAGGTGCACTAGGCATATAGGTTGCAGGCCGGGTTCGAGCCCCGGGTCGGGCTAAGTTTAATTATAATTTTTTTTGCAAAAAATCACAGTAGCAGTTTGAAGTTGGGAAATTGATGATTGGCTGTTTATACCCCGTGCCTTGGAGAGCACGTAAAGCTGTCAGTCCTGCGTTTTGATTTCTTGAATTGTACTTCCACCGGAACATGAGAGTGTCTTGAGTATGTTTGTACACGTATTTGAGACCTATAATATCGCCCACGCAGATAGGCGTCTTACGGTAGGCTAGCTCAGTGAGCAGCGGCAGAAATCGGTCGAAGGTGAGAACTTCTTCTTCTTCTCCCTGCCCATTTCCCAATCTTTGAAAACATTATTATTAATTATTACCTAGGTAATATCGAGAGAGATATGTTACGGAAACTAATTGAAGTGCCAGGACTTAAAGTCAATCTCGAGACCATAAACTATCAATGTGATGTGATTTGTTACTCTGTTACTACATAAAAGATTATGAAACTTTTTCGCATTTATAATTTAATTTACTATTTTGTTCACAAAAATTGCCTTGAAAGTGTATCGATAACATTTACATAATAATATAACACGGAATAGATAGTTGAATTATTAATTTTATGACTAGCATTTTTATGTGCTGATGAATCATTTTAAAAAATCGATATCTAACTCATTCGAGTTTATATAATTTTCTTCATTGTATAATTATTACAACGGTCTTCCACACCTGACACTAGCATTCCCAATCCTTTGTGTTTGGATGTATGAATACCATGGTTCTTTCACATGTCAGAATTAATGATATCTCTCTCTCTCTCTATATATATATATATATATATATATATATATATATATATATATATATATATGTATATATATTATGTCTTTGTATTATTGATACTCCCTTATAATTAATTTACCGCTTAACCACGATATACTTTATAAAATATTGATTATTTATAACCAAAATGAATAATTCTCTAAATGAAATGAAATGAAAAATGAAAACAGGTTCGATGCTCGACCATGTCAAACTATTATTATTATACTTCTGACCTTCCATGCATCATGATAAATATTCTACTTTAACGTCTATATAATGAATTTAAATACAGAGAGAGCACCTTCATTGAAAATATTACTTAAATTTGTCCTGAAAAATCTACTAATTACAAATACAGAAAAACGATATGGTAGACTAATGACGGCATTAATATATCAAAGCCACAATCTTTTTCACTGCTAAATCTTCAGTTTAAAATATTTTACTCCCTAAAGATTGCAAATCGACTGTTTAATATAGTTTTATACTCGACTAACGGCTGGGTATAAAGAAACCATTTACGTAATGTAGCGATCGAGGACAGAACGATCTTAGTAATACTGTAATTAGCGGCTTGACTCAGTTTAAGCTAGATTAAACTTCGCTTGTATTAGTGTATTAACTGCCTTCTAATTAGAATATTGGATTTTGATAGCAAAACACACCACTTGATAGTGAAGTGCTATAATTAATCGATTATCTAAAAATGGATTAATATTCTTCTTACCTACAGATTTCATGAATTTTGAACGTCTATATTTTGATTTGATAGTCTGGCGTCAACTAAATCAACTGGAGTGGTCGGAAAAATGCAAACTGTATGTACGCCAATGGTACTGGGTTCGAAACCATTCATCTCTAAGGATGAATGGTTTAGAAAAGCATAGAAAAAAATTATAATTTTTTTTTATTTGACTTAAAATTTTAGCAGCCGTATGTAACTCGCCAAAGTTACATCACAATATGCGTGTGATTTAAATAAAGGTGAAATATTTTTTTTACTCTTTAAGTATTGCTTTTGAATTAAGCCTATATTAATATTTTTAATGTAATTTATTTTTTATTAAGAACATAATTATTACAAAGTGCAAAAACACGTGGGAAATTCACGCCATTGGTCAGACCGAATATGACATCAGAGTATGTCATAACAGAGCGATTTTGTCGCTAACAAATTCAGTTATTTCTCTGTGTATATCATATTGTGACGTCACGCCAAGCGCACGAAATGGCGCGCGTTTATATTTTGTCGATTTTATTAATAGTTTTTTGACAGCTCGATGACTGTCAAGTTATAGTGATGTGCTAAAGGACCGTTAAGGACGTAATAACCGATATCGCTTATTATTTTTGTGTAAAAAATATAATAATGTATAATATTTATTTTCATATTTGTTAATATGAAAATAAATATTATAATCGTAAAAATTATATATACGTCAACTGGTAACATAAACCGGCCGCCTCTTTAACGTAATCTGTCATTCGTTTGTTTTTTTCTTTTTTTCTTCTCTGTTTCAACCTTAAAATTTTTTTGTCTTCCTGATTAAATAACATATCACACCTTATTTACATATTAGCATTTATTTCTACCGATTATTGGTAATCTGTGGCACAATCGTAGTAATCGTTATGTGTGACACTTCAATATGGGGGCGGTAACCGTCCATGAAGTACAGTATTATTTGTATGAAATTTTAACTTAAACAATACGAAACTTCATGGGTGTGAGCAGTCAAAAAAGTATTAATAAAATGGACAAACTATAAAGTATCCGTAACGAATACTTATACGTATATTTTGTAAGCTAATTTATATATTTTTTTATTTATATAAATATATAGAATATGTTATCAAATGAGTATCATACATTCTGCTCATAATAACCTTGTAAGTAAATTAAATCTGTCAAACTTTGCCTTAATGTAAGATAAAGGTGGATCGGCAATTTCAGATGCGGCTTTCTAAATTTTAATTATTCATAAAGTTATACGAATAACCAAGTCAAATGTAATTTAAAGTTGTAAGAATTTAAGGCTATATTGATATACATAGATGAATTAATATATTGTTATTGTTAAATTAATTGTTTTTAGTGTTGTAATGTTTTTTTTTTCACTATAACATGACACAAAATGAAATTACCTAAACTCCGTCTCATTTTTAACAGACGGACGCTATCAATTCCTAATTTCAATAAAGTTGTAAATTTAGACTTCATGGGAAAAACCTAAGGGAAAAAGCACTATCAGTTTTTCCCAATTTTTGGGAAATCTTTTCTCTTTTTCCCCTAAAAACCATCATACGTAGGTAAATTTACAAACATTAAAAATAATTCCAAAGAACAGCATTTCATTTCTATTTAAATTCATATTTATTTACTAGCAATTTATTTATTAAATTACGTTTTAACGCTTAGTGAAAAATTTCTCAGAGATGAGATATTTTCCCGCAATAAAAAGTATCCCATATGTTGACCCGGATAACCAGCTACCATCATACCAAATTTCAGTAAAATCTGTCCAGTGGTTTTCCTGTGATGCGTTCCCAGACAGGCAGACAGACAAAAAATCTAAAAACTATAGATTTAGCCTCTGTATCGATAATAACGACTATTTCAACAAGATTTTCCAAAAAATATATCATGTGACAGATTCGGCACAGTTAAAATTTTATTATGTATGTATGTACAAAAAGATATTAAACAATAAAAGTGATCTCCAAATCTTACCAATATGGTGTACAAATTAGATTTTTTAATTCTATCAATCTAATTTAGTAATATACTCGTACATACTGGTTATTAATAACAACTGACTTACATATTCACTTTATCTAATATTCTTTACTAAGACTCACTACTTGAGTCCGAATTACAAGAACGCTTTAATGTTAGACCTCAAATCTTGTGAAGTACTTTCTTATATCTTTTGGCGGCCATTACGTTAATTTTATTAAGCAACTTACTCTTCTTTTGGCTTAAATGGCATTAGTTTATGGACACTGATGGCGAAGTTCTGAATTTTTTATAATATTAATTTCTTTTGTTGAATATAAAATTTATTAAAAGATAAACCACTGGGTAGCTAAAACAAAATTGTGATAACACTAGCATAACCCGCGGCTTCGCTCGCACTAAAACTACAAAAAAAACTCTAAAAAGGTAGGTTTCATACAAACTATGATCCCCTATTTTATCCTTTTATGAGATGAATCTTAAAAAAATGCTATAACATATATTTATTTTATTATATTGAAGAGCATTAATACCAAGTTTCAAGTAATACTGATCATAAATAATTTTTTGGGTGTTATTATAAAGTTTTTCCGTGGGAACGAGATGATCTCCCGCGGTAAAAAGTAGCCCATGTCTCTATAGTCCTCCAACTATCTCCATACAAAAAATCAAGCCAATCCAGAGTGTCCAAAACAGAATGACGTTTTAACGTGAAAGAAGGACATAGAAACACTTTCACATTTATAATATTAGTATGGATATATGTACTCGTACACGTAAAACGTAGGTTCAGCCCTCGATTTACACTAGGGGCACTTGGGGCTAGTGCCCAGGGCGGCAAATTTTTAGGAGCGGCAAAATTCGGAGGGTGGGAAAAATTTTTTATTCGTGTTATCGAAAATGCTTTTTTTTATTTACCAAAAAATGAGAAATAAAAAAAATATTAACTCGTAGGTACATTTTTCGAAAAATTTATGTTTTTTTTTTCATTTTTCGAAAAATTAATAATTAAAAAAATTGAATTTTCAATTTTTTTTTCAAAATTTCGATAATAGGGCGGCATTTTTTACAGTGCCCAGGAACGGTGCTAAGGTTAAATCCGGCCCTGCGTAGGTTAGTGTGATTATGTGGCGTTAGTATTTTACTAACAAATTTAATATCACTCATGTTACATTTTAGATAATTCTTTTTAGGCGTTGTATTTGAAATAATGTTATTTTACAAATCCTAGGAGGATCTAACTAACAATAACTGTGTAAAAAGAAAACATTTTGAAATAAATAAATCTTAAATGTCTATTAACATTTAATATTTAATCGTC